CCCCCATCTCTCCCACACAAGTGCCCTAATCACCGTGCTATAGGATATTTGAAGGGTACTTTCCAAGTCCCTCCTGTAGACCCTACCTTTTGACATGAAATAATTAAACATTAATAGTATCTGTGAAACATGCAGCATTTAGGGCATTCCCCTGGGAAATGGGAAGACTTAGGAGTCCCTGATCCAATGGATTATACCCAGTGCTTGTTTAGTACAAGATATATAAACAGTCATTAGAGTAGGAATTGGAACCCATGGACACCTATACACAAGTAGTGAGGCTGCAATACCAATTACACTTTGGACTTCTTGATTTCAGCCCTGCATGCCTGAGCAATACTCCTATGCTCCTGCCTTGGTGTTTGTCCAAGTTACCTTTCTTGTAGGATTCCTTTTGTGTTTTTAGCTCATTGAAGAGTTCCCTACTAAACCAAGCTATTTTCTGCCATATTTACTAGTCTTCCTATGTTTTGTTCCTGTGCCTTCAGTAAGGTTTCTTTAAGTTACAAGCAGCTCTTCTGAACCCCTTTCCCCTTCAGACTGGCTTGCCAGGGAATCCTGCCCATCATTTCCCTGGGGGAGTCAAAGTTGGCTGCTCTTCTTCCTTCTTTTCCTTAGGAGTCTGAATTCAATCATCTTGTGGTTGTTGCTGCCCAAGTTACCATTTACTTCTACGCCCCCACCAATGCTTTCTGGTTTGTGAGCAGCAGGTCAAGAATAACATGACTTTAGTTGACCAACATTTACACCAGGAAGTTGTCCCCAACACTCTCCAAAAACTTCCGGGATTGCCTGTGCACCATTTTATTTCCCTCCCAGCTTGTCAGGGTTATTCAAGTTCCCTATGAGAACCAGGGCCTGTGACCTGGAAACTTCCACTAGGTGTTTGAAGAAACACTCCTCCATCTTATCCTCCTGGTCTGGTGATCTACAGCAGACACCCACCACAGCATCACCTTTGTTGTGTTCCCCTCTGACCCTGACCCAGAGGCTTTCAATAGGCCTGTGTCCAGTTTCATGCTGGAGCTCTGAGCAATCATATAACTCTTCTACACTGTTTATACCCATCCATCATAACACTTCAGTAGGGCCACATTATGACATGCTGGGGGCCTAAATTAGGGGTTCCCAACCTTTCTATGCCACGGCCTGGAAAACTGTGGCCCACCGTGTGGAGCCCCAGAATTTCCAGCTGGCACACAAGTAAAGATACTTCCACCCCCCCGGCAGGGGGGCAGGCCCAAACCTCAACCACGGCTGCCACAGGCCCTGAAAGAGGAGTTGTGGCCTCTCCTCTGGCTCTGTGGGGCCGCAGTCTGCCAGTCTGCGGTCACTTCTGGTCCACATCCAACACTTCACAGCCCAGGGGTTGGTTTAGAGGCCCCTCATAATGTGAGGCCCTAAGCTGAAACTTACTTTGTTTATACCTAAATCCGCCGCTTCACTTCAGTTATATGAACTGTCCCATCAAGTCTCCGTTATTTCAATCATAGCAAAGTTCTATGACCGTGCAAGGACTTCCAGTTTTCCTGCTTGTTTCCCAGGCCCTGTGCATTTGTGGACAGACACCACAGGTAACTAGCCAGTTGCTGTACTTTCTCAGGAAGAATGAGGAGGCCTCCCATGTTGCCCTCTCCTACTTGCTCTTCCTCCAGGTCACCCACTTCCCCACTTACCTCAGGGCTTTGGTCTCCATTCCTTGATGAACCTAGTTTAAAGGTCTTCTCACTAAGTTAGTGAGCCTGTCTGTGAAGATGCTCTTCCTTCTCTTCATTAGGTGGATCCTATCTCTTCTTGGCAATCCCTCTTCTTGGAACAACACCCTCTTGTCAAAGAGCCAGAGCTTCTTCCAGTAATGAATGGCCACTCCCCACAGATGAGCTGCCCCAGTTGCAGTCCTCCAGCTTCCCAGGATGCAGTGTCCCCTCCCACACCCTTCTATTTTGTGTAGACAAACTTTCCACCCCCTGAACTTTACTGCCCAGGAGGCAGTTCTGGCACCAAGCTAACTCCCCCTCCCACCCTCAGGAACTGCCCAAATGTTGATGGGTGTTAGTGCTAGATTGAGTTTGGAGCAGTCACACCCTGAGTCTAAAAACTTGTCTCTTACTTTATTGTCACTTACAGACTTTACATGCTCAGTGATTAAGCAGCAGCAGAGGGAGAGTTTTGAGGGTCAAGGTTTCAGACTTTGACACTGAAAGTGGGTTTCACATGGGACTTAGGCCCCTAAGTACTTTGGTAGCTTGAGCTTTAAGATACTATCCAGCATGAGAAAGGATAGCCTAGTTTAGTCTTTAGATTCTCTTCTCATCTACACTTGTGTAAATCTGCAAGAACACCTGCTAAAGTCAATGGGGCTATTCCAAATGATTTTTCTTAGTGTGTCCTGTTTTTATTTGTTTGTGTAAGTATGTGTGTGTAGGCATGAATAATACACACACACACATACACACACACACACACGTAAACAATATATGAATTACATGTGTGTGTACAAACCAGAATCTAACCCTTAATCTCTCTTTGTCTCTGTTTTCCTACCTACAAACCAAGTAGAAATGTATTTACCTACCTAATTCACAGATGTCTTTTGCAGCTCAGATAGTTTTTGTAAAGTACTTGGAGATTCTCAGCTGAAATATATATTTTGCATAACAGTTTCTTAAAATATTACTTATGGAACTCAGAAAGGACCAGTGTTCATAAAACAGGGAAATATTGCTCCAGGCAGTTAATTAACTTTAAAAAATGTGTCTGACCTACAGTTGTATTAATCATGTCCATTTCCAAAGAAACTGATTTCTGTGAGGGCTTGAAATCCAAAAGTAAAAGTTTTCATGGATCCCACTTCTATGTCCTGTTAAAGATGAGTGAAGCAAACTGCTGGAATTAGAAGCTACCAAGGGAGTAACAAACCTCATGGTATTGACTTGCATTCCATAGTTGATACCTAAGCAGTGCATGCTTCACTACATGACCCAGCACAGTTACAGTATCAGTATTTGACATCAGGGGTCATGGTAGAGGTGATATCTTTTATTAAACCAACAAGATTTTTGCAAAAAGTTTCTTTAATTGCAAGCTTTAGGGCACAAACACCCTTCATCAGGCATCAGAGAAAAGATTGTAAAAGTTCTTCTGGGTAGAAATGAAAGTTCATATTTCATAGGATTTTACAGAGGAGTCAGTAGATGGAAAGCTCCTCTGGGCAGGCAGTTCTTAGCTGGTAAGGAGTCTTTCAGCTCTCTTGTGAGGCTCTGTGATGATGCAAATTACCTTGAACCAAGGCAGGAGCAGAATCTCAGGTTTCAGGTAGTCACAGTTGCTTCCTGCTTGGGAAATTATGAAGATTTAATTTTAAAAATTGGCTAAAATTTGATATGTTCCGTGTCAGGCATCCTTTTTTTTTTTTTCCAAAAATCTTGGTCTAATAAAAGATATCACATCTACCATGAGCCCTGATTGCCTTTTCCTCTAGACCAATACAGCTACAACTTGGATACCTGACACATGGAAGATTTTGAATTTTAGTCAATATTTAAAATGAAATCTTCATAATTTCCCAAGCAGGAAGCAACTATGACCAGGTTTGCAGCTGGAGGTGGAGTGGGGAGGGGGTGGAGGCCAGATGTGTAATGCGGGGGTTGCACATGGCCGTGCAGGGTGGTGCGTGGCGGCGGTGGGTTGCATGTAGCACATCTGGTTGGACATGCTACTCCACGGGCTGATGACGGGCCTCGCCTCTGCCCAATCATGCACCGCCCGTGAAGCTGGATGTGTGACCAGCTGTGTGAAAGCAGCACGCGGTGGCGCAGGATGATGGATGACAGTGGCGGCCACCGTGTGTGAGTATCGGGCCTTGGTTCAGGAATCACTCTCTCATTTATACCATTCTTCCTATAGGAGAATTGGTTCTGAGTTACCAAGTTTCAACTTATGATGCGGATTTCAGGAACCAGTTGTGTCAGAAGGCAGCCTGCATTTTGAGGCAAGCAGTCATAAGAAAATGCTGACAGCAAACCCAAAAGTTAGTTCTTGGCCTCTTGTGGGCTAAGATTGTTTGTAGTGCATATCTGAAGCCCATGACTAAAGAGTTTGGGATGGAGGATGCTTGCCTGTAGTATTTGGGGGCATCTGAACCTCAAGACCTCTGGGCATGGGCCTTCAGGTAGGATGGATTTGGGAGTGTCTCAAGTCCCAGGGTGATAGGTCTGGGATGGAAGAGGCTTGCTGGTTATAGCACCATACATGGTGTTTTGAACAGCTGAGTTCAGTTCAGTCGATATGATTTGGAACTGATCTGGCCAATTTGACCTGGAACATGACACACACACACACACACACACACACACACACACACACACACACACCCATCATTTCAAGCTTTGTAAAATGTATGAGCAATTATATGTATCATAACATGTATGAGCAATTTTATATATATATATAAAATTGCTCATACATTTTACAAGGCTTGAAATGATGGTGTGTGTGTGTGTGTGTGTGAGTGTGTGTGTGTGTGTGTGTGTGTGTGTGTGTGTGTGTGTGTGTGTAACCCCCCCCACCAAAGTTGGTAAAAACTCCTTGAGAGTGACCTGGGTTTTACATAACGCTGCATCAGTTAGCTGCCTCCAAAAATACCGTACACTTGGAGCACTTTTACTACTGTTGCTCATACGCTGTACAAGGCTTGAAATGACGGTCCAGATACGATCGTCATCGTACACCTGGCAGCACCGGGCCTCGACGTCCAGGTCCCGCCAGGCCGGGGCAGGCTCTTCCCGCCCACCGGGGCGGCTGCGCTCGGCTCCGCCGCGGGAAGAGGCGGGAGGCGGGTCCGGCTCCCGGCCCCATGCGTCCGCCTCTGGCCGCCCCTCCGCTCCGCTCCGCTCCGCTCCCGCCCGCCGGCGCTGCCCCGCCAGGAGGCTTCCAGGCAGGGTCCCGGGGGAGGCGGGTGGCCGGGCTGCCGCCGCTGCCGGAGGTGAAGGCACCTGCCGCTGCCGCGGGTTTCCGGCATGAAACTCGAAATCAAGAAGTTGTCTGCAAAGTTTGCGGTGGGAAGAGCCCCGGCCCGGCCCCGCGGCAGCTCCGGCGGGGGCAGAAGCAGAGGCAGGCGCGGGCCGCTGGGGTTTTTAACAGCGGAGGAGGGGGCGGCGCGGAGCGGGACTCCCTGCTTACATAAGGCGCCTCGTCCCCCGTCACACGCGTGATTTCCTCGCCTGCCCACCCCGCGCGCTGCCGGCAGTGAAATAGGAGCCCAGCCCGCCCCCCGCAGCGCGGAGCCTCTCCCCGGCCATGGGCGCCCCGCGGGCTGCGCGGCTGCTGGCGCTGCTGGGGCTCCTGGTGCTGTCGGCGGGGACCCGCGCGGAGACCAGCGACTCCATGGATGTAAAGGACCGGCAGAGCCTCCTCGACCTGATCATGGAAATCATCCAGGAGCTGAAGAGCTACCAGCTGCAGGGGGACAGCGGGCGGCAGCGCTTCCCCAAGCACGACTACGGCTTGGACCGCAGGGAAGTGGAGGACTACGGCGGGTACCCGGACGAGCAGCGAGTCGGTAAGTGGCCGGCTGCGCCGCCCCGCCCGCTCCCTCCTGCGCGGCCAACTTCGCTTTCCCGGAGGAGAAGCCGGGCGGGCGGCGGGCGGGCAGGCGACCCCGCTCCCGAGACGCGCGTGGGGCTGCGGCCGCCGCGCGGAGCTCAAAGCCAGACCCGCTCCGCGCGCACGGCCACGGCAGCGGAGGGGCGCAAGGGGCCTCAGGACCTCGCGTCCAGTCCAGCTCCCTGCCCAAGCCCCGACTACATCAGCCCGGCACACCTCTCCGGGCAGCCGGTCCCAGGGCTGCCCTCCCCTCCTCCTCACAAAGTTTCCCCTAATATCTCTCCTGCATTCATGGACGGGGGCACAGTGAGATTGGGGGTAAGGAAACGAAGAGTAACCTCAGATCAGGTAGTCTGGAGTCTCCCGAATGAGTTTTCTGGTCCTTCTTCCCCTTCCCCTGGCTCTGAGTTTCACAGCCAAGCCTTAGCTGATGCCTCACCTGGAACTTTGTTAGCAGCCTTGGGGCTCTCTTTACTAATCCTTTTCATTCTTGGGTGCTTGGACCTTTCAGATATTTGTGACCATGTATTTATTGCCCAACCCAAATTAAGTTCTTTCTTTTGGAGCAGAGTGCCTACATGGTCCCCAGAACTGTATTTGCTCTTGATGCTCCCTCCAGGCTGTTCCTGCAAGTCACAGGCAGTGGCAGCAGATCGGAGCAGGGGGCAGCGCTCCACAGCTGGAGGCTGAGTTGGCCTCATTGGCTGCCAGGTTTAATTTGCTGCTTGCTGCCATCCCCGAGCCTCTGTAGTATTACCACCGCCTAGCCTTTTGCTCTCTCTGTCTAGGCCCCCTGAGTGAGATTAGAGAATCAGGAAAGTAAGAGTTGGAAAGGACCTCAGGAGCTCATTTGGTCCAACCCCCTGCTCAAAGCAGGACCAGCCCCAACTACATCAACCAACACAGGCTTTGTCTACCCAAGTCTTGAAAACCACCAAGGGTGGAGAATTCCACACCCTGTCTGGGTAGTCTGCTCCAGGGCTTTGCTACCCTCCCCTAGTCTCAAACCTAAACTTCCCTTGCTGCAACTTGAGACTGTTGCTCCTTGTTCTGTCATTCACCCCCACTGAGAACAGTCCAGCTCCATCCCCTCTGGAACCCCCCCTTCAGGTAGCTGAAGGCTGCTATTAAATCCCTCCTCAGTATTTCAGTTGTGCCAGTTTTCAGTTTTCTAAGAGACAGGCCATGTTTTGCCTTTTTCTGCCCTTCTTTTCCATCACCTGCTGGCTTTGCTTGGTCCTCCAGGGGACTTGCAGCTTTAAAGTTGGAGTAATCAGTGACTGTCATTAAAATGCTATTTACTCTCTTGCATAGACAATTTTAACAAAGGTTTTACATGGGACTACCTCACAATGTCCTGGGTCCTACCTCAGGCCAATGTGAAAGTTTCCCTTACTCTGTGCTGGAAAAAAGTTACAAGCAGCACACTCTACTTTGTAACTCTAGCACAGCAAAGCAAAACAAGGCGCTTGTGGCTTGCTGGGCAGAGCTTGTGGCTGCTCAGCATCAGCAAATCCAATGCGCTGGGGAATGGGATCAAGTGAGAATAAAACCACTAGGTTGGTACTGGACTCCCTGGCTCCTATGTGGGACATTTTATTATTATTGTTAATAAAAGAGAATGGTTTCCAGCAAAGCTGGAAAGGCATTATTGCTTCCTTAGAGCCTTCCTTTATGTCAGTCCTATCATCAGTTTCCCAGCGGGTCTGTCCTGTGAGAAGCTTCTCAGAGAAACATGTAAGCTTTTAATGCTCTTCATGACACAATTAGGTCAAACATGATAAGGCCAATTTTACTTAGACTGACTCAAGTTAGAGGTAAATGAAAAATGACTTTCAAGAAACGTTTAACCTCATTAGTGAATCAGATTTGAATGGAAATGTTTTCTGCTTTATATGTGATAAGAGATGCCAGGGGAATGGAGAAGGCTACTTAGGCATTTATGGTCAAGTAAATAAAGGACCCTACAGCTTATCATACATCGTATGCAATCAACACTAAGCGATCACCGTGGCGTTAGTAACCGAAAGCAATCAAAGATAACTGTAAATCAACAAGACACAAACAGGGGCTGAGGCTTAAGTGGATTTCAGTAAACCAGTTTCACTTTGCCATCTCCTGAACACAGAATGCAGGGAAGCAAACCACAAGGGTAGGGCAGAGCAATTTGCTTGGAATATTCTTTTCCTGTGAACTTTATTTACTGCTAGAGAAAACACATACTGTTTCAATGTTTCCTGTCATCATATTGATCCAAGTTTTGCGTTCCACACTTAGTATACCATTGCTGACAGCAGTGGTGGTGCCTGTAGCTAAAAAGGTGCATGAAACAGCCAAAAAAGGAAGGCAGCCTAAACATCAACCACAGGTATAGCTGTGGACTGTTGGTACTACTGAAGTTGCTACAAGTTTCTAAGTGTCATTGAATTTAAAGTGATACACCAGAACCAGGGGGAGCTAAAATACAGTGCACAGTACTCAAATGTGACTTTTTGGTGGTCCTCATCTATATGATTGTTTGCCTGACAGGGAGCATCAGTTCTAGCATTGCAGTGCTCCCCTTTGTAGGGGCTGTGGTTCTTTATGAAAGACAAAGGTGGTTGCAATTTGCTCCCTTTATGCAAATGCCATGTAACCTGCATGCTTTTAGTGCCCTATGGTTCTGCCCCTCAGATGAGCAGAATTTTGACATGCTCATAGGTTGCCTTCCCATATGTGACGCATGTATTTCTAGTAGGTTACAGTGAATGCTTTCTTCTTTCCAACAGAAATAGTGCCCAGAGATCTGAGGATGAAAGAAAAATTTTTAAAGCATTTAACAGGTACATGTACATTTTGCATTTGCAGTCATTATTTCATATATATGGCACTTAAAGTTTGTCTCTCCTTTCTCTAGGAGCTCTGAATCATTTTGGCTAATGACTCTTTCCTCCCTTTTCTCCCCCTTGTTATTTCAGGTCCTCTCTATTTTAGTCCAAAATGTAGTAAACACTTTCATCGGCTGTATCACAATACAAGAGACTGCACCATCCCAGCATGTAAGTGACACCAATCAAGGCTAACTCATTTAAGAAACAGAGTGAGGTGTTTGTTTGTTGTTTGAGTGGAGCGACTCTAAACAA